CTGCCCCGAGTGCGTGGAATAATCATGTTAACGTTCATTTTGAATTAACTCCTCGGTGGACTCAGCGACGTCGATATGTGTTTAATGCAGAATATCCATCTTTAGCACTATTTGGTGGCTGCAGCAACCGCGTTGCACACGGTGGGTAACAGAGAGAGTGCGATACATACACACACTCCAGACATAGTACCATACCCTCATTGCCCCTGGCAGGAAGGGTTAAGTAAACTCGCTGTCCAGGCAGATAGGGACATTTGCTCATTCTTCAATAGAACGTCAACTGTCGGCTTGTGTGTCCCTGTCTGACAGGCCGCGTCAGAGTGTGAGTGCGCCGGCGCGAGTCTGCAGTAGTGAGGAGAGAGTGTGACAGAGAGATCACAGCGACGAGTCAAATGTGTCATAATGTGGCAGAGGATATCAAGACGAGAGGCAAGTCAAACCCTCCATACTAGAGAGACTACAAGCACGTACATCATGTAGGAACAGCGCCCTGAATGCATTGCTGTTGTCCCTCCAATTTGTCCTATTTGTGCCTATTCTTTACTTACAGTGTGTGTTTCTATTGCCACACAGCCCACAGGTATATTGAGTACCGTAACCCTGACTGTGTATATATGTGTGGCATAATGATACAGCTCGACAACAGTATGTGGCACTGTGTGTCATCTGGTGCTGGTGCGTCAACTGGTGGAGCGCAGTGTGGGTCATTGGTTCATGTTTTTTGTGGGTGTGTGTGAGTTGTGTGTAGTGATGAGCCGCGGAGTTCTGGGGCGGTCTCTGACTGACGACCAGGCAAGAAACACTTAGAGATGTGGCGAGGTATTGACTACAGCTGAGCCTCCACAAAACTGTCATACCTCAATTTATTAGAAAGCTACATCCAATTGTAAAAGCGCTAATCATGGGAGTCCCTGCCATTTTCTGTTCTAATGATATGCCTGACTGCGTTATAAACCTATCAGTCAAAAGTTAGCTATATTATGTCCCACAAGAAAACTATGCCTAATAAAGGATGCTGTATCAACATAGAAAAAACCACTTGCTTGGCTCAGGCGAACGCAAATAGACTAAAGTGCTATATTGTGCTGGGCGAGAAGGATTTCTATTAGTCGTTTTTCATAGTGATAGTGTAGCAATCCTGTGATGAATCAGATTTCACTACAAGCAAGGCTAAAAAGAATGTCCATAGAGTAACACAAACATCTACGTAATTGGTTGCCTTGTTCACCACCTCACCAAAACCCTGAGTGACCTTTGACCCCCATTTTTAAAGGGTCAGAGGTTAATTTTATGGAATGCAGAAGAGAGAATAGAGGTGAAGCTCCTCTCACAGCCTGCAGTTCTCATACCTTGTTCTGGTAGTTGATGAGAGCTCCAGCTGATATCAGTTTCTCCACAATCTCTGTGTGACCTTTTTCAGCAGCTCTCCACCGAGGAGATGAGAGAGAACCAACTTAACAAAGAAAACAGGAATCACTGTGAGTAAACCAGTCACTCACAGAGTACTGTTACACAATTCAACATGACATAATAAAAGGCACTGTTCATCTCCATAGTCGACTTACTGATATATGCTAGAGTACTGCACACACAGAAAACTTGTAAATTTCAGTTCAGTGCATGTGTGAATTATTGCATGTGTGAGTTTATAATTTCCAGGGAGACCAGGAGAAAAATTCGTTAAACAGGAATCATTGTGAGTACCAGTCACTCAAAAAGAGTACAGTTCAATGGCTTTGAATATACATTCAACATTTACATAATAAAGGTAGAAAGCTCCTTTTGCCACTGTTCACCCTCCATATGGACTTAAAGACATTATTTAGCAAGCTAACACTAGAGTTACTGGCACACAGAAATTGTAAAATTTCAGTTCGGTGCATGTGTGAATATTGCATGTGTGAGTTTATAATTACGTGTGACATCACAATCTCAGCAGTTCTCCCCAGAGGAGATGAGAGAAGATCAACATTCACAAAGAAAAGTCATTCCGACAGGAGTAACTAGTCAACTAACTTAAACAAATGCATGAATTTTTTGTGAAGGAATGTGAGAGTTACTGGCACATGCAGCATAATTGCAAAAATTCAGTTACGTGCATGAGTGAGTATTCAGTATTGCGATAAAGATGTTCTTACATACGTACATGTACACTCTTCCTAAATTTTTTCCTCGCATATATATAGCCTACTGTACACGGATTAAAGGAGTATCTGTGCTATATTATGATAATAGAAACTCATGTGTGTTCATGCTGCAGACTAAAATGCCGACTGCAAAAGAGGCTGCTCATAGTTCGACGTCACCAAAGTACATGTAGAAGATGCTAGTGCCTGTTTCTCTAGTTTGTTCTGAAGGAGGAACTTCAATTTAACATATTGCGTAACAAATAAGCTGCAAGCATTGATAATTCCACAAAATGCATGCAATGTGATCTATTAGCAGTTTTCCTAGGAAACTTCTCTACAGAAAGGGGGCGGGTATCAGAGGTTTTGGTACCATGTTACTTCGCATTACTGACACACACCACACCTGAATACAACCTACTACGTACAAAGCCCTGCAGTCAACAAGCCTTGGTCTATGTGAATGTATAACGGTTTTGGAAGCTCTCACCTCCCTCTCTTAGGTTTCTTCTTTCTCCATGTAAAGCTGGCCATACACGCGGCAACTTTGTTGCTTCAACAAAGTTGCAGCAACTACAAAGTATTGATAAAATGGTGCAGAACGTGTAGATGGGCCCAAGTAACTGCTTGAAGAAATGGATGGGTTTGTACATTTCTGGCAACTACTTGCCTGACCGTGATAAAATGCCCGTCCTGATAGACCAAGCATATCAATACTTTGGAAGTTGCTGCAACGTTTGTTGAAGCAACAAAGTTGCCACATGATGGTCTGCTTAAAAAGTGTGAGCGTTTTATATAGTTTCCGTGCCTCCAAACACACAGCTGAAATTCCACACAGAGCAAACCACAGACAGTGACAGCGTAGGGTGTTCAGTACATGACAATGGACTGCATGCTGGAGACACAAGACTTGGCATGAATGGAGGGAGGCCGTCTGGAGCATTGTATTCCCACAGGACTGTGTATATATGTCATGAGAGGGGGAGAGCAATCTCACTGGAAGGCTACTCTCTACATTGGAATGAATGCTGGCAGCTAAGTCACCAGTTTAATCTTTTGGTGCATGTTTCACGTGTGTATACAATCATGTACACATCAAGGTATGTGCAATGGCTGCAGTGGAGAGAGCGTCTGCATTACTGGTCAGTGGAACAAGGGTGTCTTCTTTGGTTTATAATGAGGCCTCATACTATAGTAAAGTAAATAACAACAACCATATTTTATACTTTGAGTGGCTGCTGATTTACACCAACCATTTCCTCTATTCAGCCGAGGAACACTGTCCAGGAGAAGCATGTTGTTAGGTCCTTTTGGTTTGCTTGTTGTCTAGTACACATAGAGATGTATGTATCAAGTAGTGATATACATGTAATATGTAAGTTGCCTAGCCATCTTTAACCCGTCACTTAAATTCTCAAGTCATATAGTGTCTTGGGTGTGTGTGTGCAAGGTATGCTGTGCTGATGTGGGCCAACAAGCCTGAAACAGCTGTCCAGAGCTCCCACATGGTCTAATACCTTCATGCATGTATTATTGTTGCTTTGTGTTAGGGGGATAGCTATCAACTAGCTAGGGTACTGCATGATACATAATATCTCATATTTAAACATGGCCTCTTCTATATGCATAATAATTCTTCCCTGTATGCATAAACATACTATTCTCCAGAACATGGATAACTGAGACGCTGTTCAGGCCTTAAAAGAGTGTCAAAGGTCTCTGTAGCTACTATTATGTACACATTATGAAGATTCATGAAGGGGGTCACTGTACATTACGGGTTCAGAGTAAAGGGAAATGGGAGGAAGGTTGCGTAACATGTTGAGAGTATAATGGAAACCTGGTAACTCTGCCAAAAAGGGTAGAGGGCTTTCCATTCACACAAAGGACGGCCAGCTCTATGATAGGAATACACCCCTCTTGCTATGTACTGGACTCCTACAGCTAGCTATATTGGTGCCGGATGGAGTAATACCAGTACGTTGTGGCACGCACCTACCTGAAGGGGTATAAAGGTTAAGAACGACGGCACCAGATAGTAGACATGCCTGAGCCGGAAGACGGGAACAAAGGAGTGACAATAGTGGGCGGAGGTCTGGTGGGTTCATTGCTGGCCGTCTCCCTCGGGCAGCGGAGGCTCCGCGTCCACCTCCACGAGTCGCGAAGCGACATCCGCCGTGCCGCAGGAGTCAGCGGCTAGCGGAGCATCAACCTGGCGCTCAGTCATCGCGGCAGGGAGGCCCTGAGAGCAGTGGGTCTGGAGGACGAGGTGCTCTCAACAGCCATTCCCATGCGAGCTCGAATGATTCACCCACTGAGCGGGAACCAGTACTCTATTCCCTACGGGACCAAAAGAGACGACTGCATCTATTCTGTGAACAGACGAGCCCTCAACGAGCTACTCCTGACCAAGGCAGAGGAGAGCCCTAACATTTCCATTCATTTCGAGAGCCGACTCCTACAGGCTGACCTCGAAACAAACACACTGGTTTTTAGCGATGGAGCCACGGGAAAGAAGACGGTTCAGACTGAGTTTGTTTTCGGGTGCGATGGAGCCCACTCGACAGTTCGTAGACAGATGATGAGGTGGGGCCGACTCAATTATCAGCAGGAGTACATCCAGCACGGCTACAGGGAACTCACCATGCCTCCTATGGAACCAAACTTCATCCACATCTGGCCACATCACGAGTTCATGATGATCACTCTTCCCAATCACGATAAGTCGTTCACCCTCACCCTCCTCATGCCTTGCAGTCTGTTTGAGTCGGTTCGAAATGAAGATAGCCTCCTCACGTTGTTTCAAGCCCATTTTCCCGATAGCATCAATAAGATTGGAGCGTCTCTATAAAGACTACTTTGCTAACCCGCAGGGAAAGATGATATCAGTCAAGTGCTCCCCACACTTCATGGCTGGAAGCACTCTCATTCTCTGGGATGCAGCACATGCTGTCATACCATTCTATGGGCAGGGGATGAATATATATGCACAGAGCCGCCATAAGTGCATAAGAATTTATATATGGCTATAATACTAGGCGCTAATATGTTATACATAAATTTCTGCTTATTTAAGGAGACACCTATGGTGCCCAAAGAGTTAACTATCTATAAGCTCCATCCATGCACTGATTTCAAAGACACTATAAACTTAGAATCTTTCTCCCATTCATTGCTTCACAAGCTGAGGGCAGCTCACAGTTGGCCCCAAGTAACTTTATTCCAAGGTGCACGGAAAAATTCTATAGCTACTACATATAGGTTATCAGCAACTTGTCTTTTACCAGTATTCTCAAAAAATGTAATACTGATAAGCACTACTAAAGCCCTGGCAGTTGCCCACCTCATAGCCTATATATAGTGTAAGCAGTTACATACAGACATGTGCGTGCACACGCACACATAGCATCGGGTTGCACTTGTGTTTATAACCAAGTTAAATAGGACCCTAGAGTAACAAACCTACTTCCCCCTTAGGATCCACACCTATGACATCCCCCCTAAATACCTCACTGTGCTTTGTAGAACCATAGGATTAGCATTCCCCCAGAGAGCCTAAGGTAGGTGATTGTCAATACAATTTTGTAAGTGGTAGATTTTACATAAGAGTCTGTGACATTGGGAGGGTTGGGGTGCCATACAAAGATCTTTTAACCCACCACCCCCAGCTCTCAAGGCTAGGCATGTGTGTCCTACTCTTGAACTTGTATGCGTATGTAGTACACACATGCATTCTGTCCCTCTCTAACATTAGCGCCTTGCTTAGCTGCCATGCATCCTATGTCCCCTACTATTTCTGCAACTTATGTAGTTAAGACAGAAACCCTATACTATACTCTTCTAGTAGAAAGAGGTGGGTCAACAGTTAATGATGCATACACTTCGGACCACTAGGCAGCCATATGCGGTGAGGTTGGTACACGCCTCCCAAACTCTAGGACTATCCATCCTCCAATACCCAACACACACACACACTGTAACATTCCTTGAACATGCGTGTAAATAGTTCATTTACATGGTGGTTGTATGAGCATCTACCTGTGTGGCAAGCGCATCTAACATGCAAATCACTGATATCATGGTGTAGCAAAATCAAAACCATAGAGTACAGATTGTATGCTAACTACGCTGACATACAAAAATAAGCAACAACACAGTATTTAAAAGCTGTAAAAAGGAGGAAATAGACAATTCAGTAAGTCTGGTATGTAGTATAGTAAAGAGATAAGCTACAGTGTTAATTAGAGTGTTATTTCCTTTAAATATTGTAGCTACTCCTGTAGAAGATAAGTTGCTGATAACCTATATGTAGTAGCTATAGAACTAGGCTACAGTGTTAGAGTCGAGAGACGTAGTTTAAACTTTGTACTGCTGTAGAAGTTTGACTATTTGCTGATGACCTTCAGCTCTTGCGAAACTCATGGCAGTACGTCCATCCTGAGAGGTGAGGGAAAATTACACTCATTGACTAAATGAGAGACAGTCACACATTATTGCAGCACTAAACCCTCGATGCAAATGGGTGCTGACGTCAGCAGTCTAGCCTGAAGTAGGTGCACTCTACACATGTGCGAGACACAGCACTGCTAATTGATGGGCATGGCCATGCTGGGTAGGCACACAGCAGAGTCACACACAACCACATGACAATCACTCTAATATTATTATGTTCAGCACTCAAACAAAGATGTGACTATTAAAGTTGGTATAGCCTCTTTACCTTATAAGGTAGATCTTTAGCTCCAGATTCTAGCAGGAGTCTAACTACTTCCAGGTGTCCATTGCAACCGGCAAAAATAAGTGGAGTTGCTCCATTCTAGAGAGAGGAAGATAGAAAACATTAAACATCCATCTCCATAATACACCATACAAAGAAATGACACGTGACAGTGCACATGATGGGTACACCCAGATCTGCTCATGGTGACAGGTGGAGCAGTGAGTTGGTGTAGCAAGACCAGTTCTGGCTCTCTGACTGATTAACAAAACAGTTCAGATGTTGCAGGAAATTGAGAGGTTTATACTGGCATTCAGCCAATGCAGTGCTACCCTCTCTGTATAATTATTATTATGTCTCAGAGAGTCTGAATTGTCAGCCTGTAATTTTCCTCTCCCAGTCAAGTATTGTATACCACTACTGTGATACTCCAGTGACTTAGTGGTAGTCAGAAACTACAGCTGAGGTCCAGACTGTGACTGTCCCACTAGTGTCCACTGGAGACTCCAGACAACTCTGTACAGCTACATTTGCCAATGTCGTAGTTTAAGACATGATGGTCCTCACAGTTAGGCACAGTCATAGTTATCAGAAACACTGACTATGCTACGTACAAGATGGAAGCCATCTCTAGAGCAAGACATGATATTAACCACAGTGCAAGCATTGACTATAATTATACTGAACCTGTGTGAACGTTCCTTCTTAGTGAAAAGGATTTTAACCAGAGTTTTGAGGCCATTTGTATGCGGATCATGTGATAATTCAAACTCCAAATTTATCCCCCCACTGCTCACTACCCAAAATAAAGGATGCTCCTGAAACTACCGAGCGACGGGAAATGCTCAAACCTATCCCCAAGCTTCCCCTGCAAGGCAACTAAGAATTTGCTTATAAGACAACCATAATAATTATGATGGACACTCCCACAACACATGACTCACACTTTCACACTCATCATCACACAACAGGCACTCCTTCATCTCCTTCCTCCCCTAATACCTACCCAGTTCCTCATTTATTCAATGCGTGCGACTTATACATTAATCTAGACCCAGCATCATTTGCCCTGTGCAAGTACTTTTTTTGATCACGACCACCTTGTTAAATGTCTTATACAATGACAGCTTATATTTAGCCCCCCTTCAAACTCCCGCTCATTGACATAATTATTATTTACTGTCCCCATACTATAGACAAAAAGCCCTTCAAGGAGCAATCACCATTTTGACGCAATCACGACTCTACCTTGTCATAATATTTCTATTATGTAGAAGGATTTTCTTGTGGGAATAGCGCCATAGTACCCCTCTAATCGACCAATCAGATTTGAGAACTCAATGAAGCTGGGTTCTAAAAATGTCACTATATGAAATTCTCGAGACACACAAACATCAACGTAACTGGTTGCCTTGCACCAATGCCCTCCCTCTTCTGAAAAAATTACCTTACATGGGACCTTTCCCTCCCACTTTATAAGGGACAGAGGTCACTTGCAATACTTTTTTGAGAATGCAGAATAGAGAGAGAGGCTCTCTAACAGCCTGTAGTTCTCATATGTACCTTGTCCTGGTAGTTGATGACAGCTCCAGCTGATATCAGTTTCTCAACAATCTCTGTGTGACCACTTTCAGCAGCTCTCTCCAGAGGAGATGAGAGAAGACCAACCTTCACAAAGAAAAGGTCAGTCCAACAGGAATCAATGTGAGTAAACTAGTAAACTAACTTGCAATGAATGTTTGGTGAGGGAATGCGAGATTAACTGGCACACACAGCAATAATTGCAAAATTTCAGTTACATGCATGAGTGAATTGTAGAATTATGATAGTGGCAACGTTGTTACCTACGTATGTATATATAGAAGCGGGAACAATTAAGGTAAGAAAGTAGGATCACACTAGCAAATTATATTAGGAATCACTTAATGTTAAATTGCTTGTAATAAACCAGAGAACAAATTCTGAGTATAGTGAGTGTCAAATACAGTGATGCACTATGACGCTAAAATCAGCGCAAGCACCTAGCGCGCCAAAGCTTGCCTACGCGTCTCTGCGCAGTACCAGCGAACGTGGAATTACGTTGTTAGCTGAACTTTGCAATTGGGTGTAGCACCAAGGCTGTCCCTGGTGCCATGTTTTTGGCACCAGAGATTTTGCAGGTTGACACCCCTGCAGTGAAGGACATTGAGGATCGAGGAGAGGAAAAAAGAGACTAATGTATTGCTCATTGCAGCAACAGACGTACATATGTAAGTACAAGGAAATTGGTGTTACGTGTCAGTTACTCGGTAAGCATGTATTCGCTATAGTGTGAACCATGGGGTACTTCAGAGTAGGCACACTAAAAGAAATAACAATTATTTTGATGAGCTTGTGTAGCATGAACTTAATTATTGTTCACATGTTTCGGTTCGTAGACCTTCTTCAGTGAACTGCACAACTAAGATGATTACAGACTTTAAAGGAAGCTATGGCTAAGGGTTGTGGCCAGAAAGGAACAACAGTTTACGTGCTGACAGCCTGAGTTGATGGTTCTGAGGTTGAGGTTGAGGTTTATTGTGGGCATGTATGTAGTGCTGGCTCCCAGATGTCGCTCAGCTTAGAGTTAATGCTACGCAAGCTCATCAACGTAATTGTTATTAGTATCGTAGCAATGAGTCTCTATAGAATTACCAAAAGCAATGTATACTAAATCATACGAGCAGCAAATACGTACACATTCATTGACATTGACATTACGTAGCATTAATTTCAAAAGGATAATATTGTTCGGATGTTTCGGTTCATAGACCTTCTTCAGTGAACTGCACAACTAAGATGATTACCGATTTTTTAAAACGAAGCTATGGTTAAGGATTGTGGCTAGAAAGGAACAACAGTTTACGTGCTGACAGCCTGAGTTGATGTATCTACGGTTGAGGTTTATAGTTTGGCGTGTAGTGCTGGCTCCCAGATGTCACTCAGGTTAAAGTTAAAGCTACGCAAGCTCATCAAAATATTTGACGAACAGAGACATTTCATGTTGATTCTAGGTGAATAGTAAGCATTAATGGCGAGCGGGAGCAATCAACTGCGGCCATTGGTGAATATGCGTTACAAAGAAAGTGCAGTGTTTTCTGATGTTTCAGCCGTGATCATCTGCTGGTCGTTAGTGTCTGTGACAAAGTTTCGATCTGTCGGTCGGCGGTTCTCATCTGTTGCAGGTGTGAATCTCTATCCTCACATGAATCGTGCTGCACTCCATGCTCTCTCCTGTGCCCGACATTGCAGAAGCAATAAGCTGTCTGTGTGCAATAACATTTCAAGGATCTATTTCATGTATCGGTGGCTGGCTTAACGACGTAGATACGTGTTCAACGGCAGATAGCGCTAAATTTGGTGGTTTCACTTTTAGGTCCCCCGTGTTGGGGTAACAGAGAGAAGGAGATGCATACGCACTCCAGATATAGTACCATAACCCTCTCTGTCCATGTGTACAAAGGTTTAATATAACTCACTGTCCAGGTCAGATTAACATTTGCTCCATTCTTCAACAGAACGTCAACTGTCTGCTTGTGTCCATTCTGACAGGCCACATAGAGTGGAGTACAACCATCCTGAGTATAGGAGAAAGTGTGACAGAGAGATACACAGGAGAAAGTCAAATGTGACATAATTGTGCAGAGATATATCAAGAGAGAGCAGTCATACAAACCCTCATACAACAGAAACACAAGCATGTACATAACAATTCGGTTTGGTTGTCCCTCCAGTTTGTCCTATTATTAAATTACAGTGGTTTTCTGTTGCCATTCAAGTCCTTTACTTGAGCACCTATAGCACAACAGACCCACACATAATGGCTGAAATTATTAGAACACACTATGCAGTGCATTATGGGGTTTAGACTTAGTGCGCGAAGAGGATTGATAAAGATAGAGGTTAGGTAATGCATGAGACTTAGACTAGTGCATTATAATGTTATCAATCCGTCTGAGTGCACTAATTGGAACTGCATAATGCAATGTAGAGTGTGTTCTAAACATTTTAGTGCTGCATGTAACATCTACCAATCGGATTCATGGCCAGTTATTGAAATGCTTGCCCTTTATTGACAAATTCAGTTCATTAACAACTTAATGCACACTTTCCAGTGCATTAAGCAATTAAAAAAGTGTGCACGTGACAATCTGGCTGCGGTCACAGTACTAGCACTAAGTGTGACATAGGTCCACCAAGATTTGTAAAACCAGCTGTGGCGTAATAACCGTAAGTATAGTGAAGTACATAGGAATGCATAATAATGTTCTCCGGTCAATGGGGCCACACACACCACAGTCAACTACACATCTCTTACCCCACACCATTATCACTTTCACTAGCACATATATTAAAGCGAGCGTATACCAGCCTACGTACTCATACTTTAATCTTATATCCATGGTGTGTATCAGTGAGGTTCATACTGTTTGTCAAGTGATGTACTAGAACGCATGCCATGCAACTCTCCCATGTCAATTCAAACAGGCAACAGATGTGAGAGTCACTGGCAAGCGTCACACGACACTTCGTGTGAAAATGTGATTTTATTTCATCCACGACATAAACGTATGTGAGACAGTGACCGTCTCATCGTTCTCGGCATAATGTTGGACGACTAAGGCTTTGCTCACTAATCCCTGCACAGGGTTATCACAGAAAGAGCCACTCAATAAACGTATTATTTCTTTACCCGCTGGTGAATATAATAATATATATATATAATATATATATTTTTTTTTAACAAAACAGATTACAACAGTGCAGTTGAAAATGAAACGTGGAGAGAAACAAAAGGGAAAATAAATCAAAGTAGCTAAACGTATTATTCACTGCTACTCACAGTACATGCCACACCACCATGCTTCACACATGTTTTGCTTTCATACCTCACTTATAATAAATCATACATGTATTATTAACCCTCGGCGCGCATGCGCAGCGAGGGTTGTCTGTCTGTCTGTCTCTGTGTGTGTGTGTCGACGCTTATTCTGGTACTACAGGCTACGAGGCGGCCTATTAGCGATACCAGCGGCTTCAGAACTATGTGAGCCTGAAAACTAAAAGGGCGGTATCCCTCTCGAACGCAGTCTTTGCAGGAAAACGCCGTCGAAAAAGCCAAAATGCATAATCGCTCTGGGCTTACCGCGACCTGATCCGCTCGCTCTGTGTACCTGATCCGCTCGCTCTATGACTCCTGCATGCTATCTACTACTGTAACTAGCCCGTGTCAGACTCTCCGCGAGCTACTAGCGGGAGATCGCGAGTAAACGTATACAAATAGCCCAGCCCATCAATTAGCAGCATCGCGCATGCGCAGTTCGCCGAGGGTTTTCATATTATGGGTGTAGTTGCCTTGCCTTTCTACCTTGTTAACAAGTTGTTGAGACATGCACAATACTTAGTGAGATTATGCATTTCAGTGCTTGTAATTACCCCGGGCCACTCATATAATGAAAAGCACTAAAGTGCAAACCCTCGGCGAACTGCGCATGCGCGGTACCACTAATTGATGGGCTGGGCTTTTCTTTTCTTTACTCGTTGTATCGCGCTAGTAGCTCGCGGAGAGTCTGGCACGGGCTAGCTACAGTAGTAGATTGCATGCGGGAGTCGATACATGCCCTTCGTTGTGACTTCTTGTGCCTTCAAGATACACAGAGCGCGCGGACGCAGTCGAGGTAAGCCTGTGCTAATTACCATATTGGCTTGTTCACTTGGTTTTCACGCCATAACTTTAGAACGCAGTAGTTTTACGAAAATCACCTTTTTTAAAATCAACCCAGTGTAGCACTGAACCCGATCATATCGCTATTTACCTCATTTCCTGCGCGCGGTGGCAGAAAACGTGGTAACAGACAGAATGAAAAGCACTGAAGTGCAAACCCTCGGCGCACTGTGACGCGAACGCGTAAGTAAACGCATACGCCGTACCACAAATTGATGGGCTGGGTTTAGTTTTAGCTGTTACTCGTGGTCTCTTGCCAGCTCGCGCAGAGTCTGACGCGGGCTAACTACACTACTAGATAGCATGCGAGAGGCGATACACGCCCTGCGTTGCATCTTCTGGTGCCTCCGAAGTACGCAGAGCACGCGGATCGATCCGACTGTGGTAAGCCGTCCCTTCCGTTGTGTATTAGCATATTGGCTTTTTCGCGCTCTAGCTTTGCAACGGAGCATTTTCAGAGAAAACCGCCTTTATTTTCTGACCTTCGTCGCCCGTTGGGTAGATGGTAGCTATCGTTTCTGGGACGAACAGACGTTCGAGGAGTGAGATATAGACTAACAGACAGACAAACAGACAGACCGAACTACAGTACCCTCGCTGCGCATGCGCGCCGAGGGTACTGACAGACGGACAGACTGACACACGAAACAACTACCGTAACCCTCGCTGCGCATGCGCGCCGAGGGTTAATTATATTGAGTTATGAATTCCTGCATGCCTCACAGAGTGGGATTTGCCTTTGCATGTATTGTGTTGTTTGCATGCAAGTCGTCTCAATGAGGGTTTCATTATGCCAGATGATACACTGATGTAACAGAGACAAAACATATTTGCAATCGTCAACGCCTTGCACTCCTGCCATCGCAGTAGACCACTCTTCATTGTGTCGTTGGATGGTCCATCTTTTATTTATGTAAAAAAGGTGCAGTCCTGAGTGTCGTTGCTTTGCTTCCCTTGCACTCTAACGTATTAGTTATGTATTTGGGCACAGGACCCACAGCTGGTCACCCAGCAATGGTAGTGGTGAAAAAGGAAAGAGCCAGTTGTGAAGCCAAGAGTTCTCATAGCTACCCCACAAGTACCGTAACCCTTGCTGCGTTTCTCTGTGGGCATAATGAAAGTGACAAACACATGATGGAGGCACTCATATCTGCTCATGGTGATTGGTGGAGCAGTGAGTTGGTGTAGCAAGACCAGTTCTGGCTCTCTGACTGATTAACCAAGGCAAGGAAACACTTAGAGATGTGGCAAGGTATTGACTTCAGCTGAGTCCTCAAAAATTTTATGTTGAGTTATGAATTCCTGTGTCCCACACAGAGTGGGATTTGCCTTCGCATGTATTGTGTTGTTTGTAAGCAAGTCGTCTCAATGAGGGTCTTTAACATTATGTCAGACGTCACACTGATGTAAAACGAAACAAAATTTAAACTTTGTGCCATGCACTTCTGACTCTTGCGTTCCCTCGCCAAAATGTGCTGCATTTGTTCTTGTATACAGTAAGCTGCTATCGCAGTAGACCACTCTTCATAGTGTCATTGGATGGGTCAATCTTTTATTCATGTAAAAAGGTGCTGTCCTGGGTGTTGTTGCTTTGCTTGCCTTGCACTCTAACGTGCATTTAGGCACAGGACCCACAGCTGGTCACTCAGCAATGGTAGTGGTGAAAAAGGAAAGAGTCAGTTGTGAATCCAAGAGCTCTGTTTCTCATAGCTACCCCACAAGTACAAAGTACAGTAACCCTTGCTGCGTATACGTATGTGTGCATAGTGACAAGTATCAAGCACATGATGGGGACACTCAGATCTGCTCATGGTGACAGGTGGAGCAGTGAGTTGGTGTAGCAAGACCAGTTCTGCCTCTCTGACTGACTGATCAAGGCAAGGAAACACTTAGAGATGTGGCAAGGTATTGATTTCAGCTGAGCCCTCAAAAATTGTCACATCTCCTTTATTATTCATCCAATTGTAAAAGCGCTAACATCATTGATGTACTCGCATTTGTTTTGTCCTCATGATATGCCTGACTGCGTTCTAAACCTTATCTGTCGTTAGCTATACGTCCCACAAGAAAAGTATGCCTAAATAAAGGATGTGGTACGTACCTGTATCAACATTAAAAAACATTTCCTCGGCTCAGGTGAATGCAAATAGACTAAAGTGCTATATGCTGGGCGGGGAAGGATTTCTATTAGCCGTTTTTCACAGGAAAAGTGGAGGACAATAGCAATCCTATGAATAACCAATCATATTTCAGAACTCACTATAAAGCAAGGCTTTAAAAAGAGAATGTGTGTAGAGTAACACAAACAAATGTGTAAGTTGTTGCCTTGTTCCCACCTACACACAAAAATTCTGAGTGACATTTGACCCCCCAGTTTTAAAGGGCTGAAGTTCTTGCAAAATGTTTTGGAATGCAGAAGAGAGAATAGAGTTGAGACTCTCTGACTGGCTGCAGTTATCATACCTTGTCCTGGTAGTTGATGACAGCTCCAGCTGATATCAGTTTCTCCACAATCTCTGTGTGACCTTTTTCAGCAGCTATCCCCAGAGGAGTTGAGAGAGGATCAACCTTCATATTTATTTAAAAAAATTCAGTTAAACAGGAATGATTGTGGGTAAACCAGTCAGTCACAAAGAGTACTTTTAAATGGCTTTTGGGTATACAATTTCAAAATTTACATAATAAAGGTAACTACTTTTGGCACAGTTTACCCTCCATAGTCAACTTAAAAAAGAACATTTTTTAGCAAGCTAACGCTAGAGTTACAGGCACACGCAGAAACCTTGTAAAATTTCAGTTTGGTGCATGTGTGAATTATTGCATGTATGACGTTGGACATCACAATAGGGTGGCAACATTGCAGTATACATTACATATAGAAGTGCAGGCAATTCAGGTAACTAGGTAGGACCATTTTGCTTACCAATTAGATACAGTACGAATAACTATTAATGTTAAGATGCTTGTAGTAAACCAGTCAACTAATTATGACCAGTCAAATAGAGTAAAGGACATTAAGCATTGAGGAGGGGAAACACAGAGATTAATGTATTGCTCATTGCAGCAACAGACGTACATACGTAGGTACAAGGAAATTGCTGTTTCGTGTCAGTTACTCAGTAAGCATGTATTCGCTATAGAGTGAACCATAGGCTACTTCAGAGTAGGCACAAGACCAAAAGAAATGTATACTAAATCCTACGAGCAGTAAATACGTACACATTCACTGACATATCCATCCACAAGTCTATTTAAGCGATCATCCATACCAGCCATGAACTATTCTCCATTCTCACAGAAGCTAGCAATAATATCAGTGAGGTCATGCACTAATGGAATTTCTTTGCATTATGACGTCATATGTAAGTCCATATCAGCATTATGCTTACAAAAGTCGCCATGGCATCTTGGCTAAGCCCCAGAACAAGCATCAGATTGGAAAAAGAGAGAGTTTACCATGTTAGTTAGGTTCTATGTATAAAAATGTTGTCAGCTGTAACATCTGCCAAAAAGATTTCCTCGTTGCAGATACATCAGCCATCTAGGTAGTACAGTACCAATCCAGTGTGTAATGCAACTCTTTTGCAGTAAATGTTCACAAGGTAACTATAATTCTTCATTCCGAGTTGATGGCTGTGGCATTACAGATAGTGTGTTTTGTTTCATCAGCACGTGTACCATACAATGACGAAGTTGAATTTTGCCCCTAGGTATATGTGCTGGCATCATCTGTACATGGAAGACCTGCGCTGACAGCAGAGAGGGACATACTGCTGTGTCTGCTGTGAGAGAGAGGGAGATGTACTGCTCCTTCCATTCAGAAAGAGAGGTAGCGAGCACAAAATGTTGGGAGAGATGCCGTGGACCCCAAAGAGCCAAACAAGCCAAGCTGTACATGTGTGTTGTCAGTGTGCAAGTTCTTTACAATGCCAAGTTCTGATGATTATAGAGCGTCTTATTCTTGCCCCGAGAAGTAAAACTACTCTAGTCTAAGCCATGAAAGTTTTGTCCTTAAGCATCTACCAAATAACGTTCCTTATAAAATTTGTACAGGTCCTTCAAAAGATGGTGCCAGCCGTAGTGAATGCAGCTTGCTTGGATGCAGACTCAGCCCTTAAAATCTGCACAGTACACATGACGATGGATGTTGTTCTCCTTGGCTAGGGCGATGCCATCGCTCTAGCAGCAGTAAGCAGAAAGAAAACAAAGAGTGAATATGTAATGAGATGCACAGGAAGTGCAGTACTCACACCTACAGAACTACTTCTGTAAAAATTACGTACAAAACACATTTCTGGTTCTGTTGGTGACCCGACCAACACAGGAGCCCATATTGACCTTTCATGGAACGTCTGATGCTTTCATGGTGAATGATACGGCAGAGTCTAGTCAAGGCAGCTCCTTGTAACTAGTGTTTACCTGCTATTGTGCCATAACAATTGCGTAGTCAATGGCTAATGGCGACGGTTATTGTAGTCGGTCTGTGTGTGTGTGTGCATGTGTCCGTCCGTCCGTCTGTCCACCATTTTCCTCTGTAACCGCGGCAACTCTGAGAGTGAAACGTGGACATATTACTGGTAGGCGAATGCATGGCATTTTTGGCGAGCGGAAGCGAGCTTACAAATGGGGTCTAATCGTATGAATCACTCATGTGTGTGCACAAAACAGTGAGATATACATGGCGTAACAACTGTAGGCGGGGCCTCTCTCTCCTCACTGGACTCGGCAGCAATGAAGCTGTTGGAGCCTGGCCTGATGTGCTTCCTCGGATTCTGCACTGCGTCTAGCTCCTGATCGTACACGACCTCTCGCTAGTCGCGCTTCCCTTTCCTCCGCTGTTTCTGTTGCCCGGCGTTGCTTTGCCCGTTCCCGATCACGCAATCGGCGTTGAGAAGCCGAGCTTCTCTCTGCTCAGGAGTCTCACTGGTGCGACGTTCTCTTTCCCACTCTCGTTGACGACGAAGAGCATCTTCTCTAGACCGATCCATAACTCTTTCCCTTTCCTCACACGCTCACAAATTATCAGGGGTGGAGCCTTCTGAGGGGTGGGCAGGCGACGACGTATATACAGTGACATGCGCAGTTCGGCGACGCACGGTGACATAATAATATAATACATACATAATAATAATAATAATATAGAAAATCGCGCCGTTCGGACCACTAGGTTAGCTCGCTTCCGCTCGCCAATAAAGTAGGAAGCATGCATGGTAAACTAAGATTCTGGAGCGGAGAAGGCCAGGGAAGCTGGTGTAATGGACGGTTGCCGAGGTGAGTGTGCGGACGATCGCTGTACTTTGATGCTTTGCATGTGTGGAGAAGATTTGCTGGTCTGCCTGTATTGATAGTACAGTTGTGTAGGAGCGAGATTACCGGTCAATGATCTTCTCTGAGACAACAAACTATTGAACCTCCATAATCAACAGTGGCGAGGGTTATGCACTTTCAAGTGCTTTTCATTGGAGTTAGCCATGTGTAGCGGTAAATGTGTTGGCATCACTTTTAGTTCCACACTCAAGATTAAGTAAATAAAAAACTTGGACTTGAAAAATATATATAGGGATGGTAGAAAAAGCAAGGAGACAAGACAGGGATGACCTAGCGAATAATTATGATGCAGTAGTACAATGGATGATGACTACATACTTCTAACTGACATCTCTTGCTCTATTCCTCCACACAAGCCCTATATTGTTGCTGAGTATGAGTGTGCTACCTTGTATATATGATGCACAGCTATGATTTATTTCATAAGCACATTAGACGGGTAATGCCCTCTCCTCGGTTTTCGTTCGTGACTGCATTGTGTGAAGTCTAAGACTTCTACATTCGTTCAACTAACCAGTTTTACAATGCTTCGTTCTTAGCCACCTACAGAATCCCTTCATCATTGTCCTCACAATTTACACCATTTACTATGTGTTATGTGAGTGAGTAAAGGTGGCGTCACTCGTGGCCCCCGTGTTACACATTGTGGGGTAACAGAGAGAAGGAGATACATACACACACTTCAGACATACTACAATGACCCTCATTGTCAATGTGCACCAAGGATTAATTAATAATAACTCACTGTGCAGGTCAGATTAACATTTGCTCCATTCTTCAACAGAACAACAACTGTCTGCTTCTGTCCATTCTGACAGGCTACATAGAGTGGAGTACCACCATTCTGAGTATAGGAGAAAGTGTGACAGAGAGATATACAGGAGAAAGTCAAATGTGACATAATTGTTCAGAGATATCAAGAGAGAGCAGTCATACAAACCTTCATACAAGAGAAATACAAGCATGTTCATAACAACTCGGTTTGGCTGTCCCACCATTTTGTCCTATTTTTTATTTTTTTTGCCATGCAAGTCCTGTGATTCAGCACCTAACACCACAGACCCACATATAGTGGCTGGAATAATTATAACACATTATGTGGTTTAGTCTTAGTGCGTGAGGAGGATTAATAACGATAGAGGTTAGATAATGCACGAGACATAGACTAGTGCATTACATAATCCTTCGATCAGCCTGAGTGCACTAATTGGAACCGCATAATGCAATGTATAGTGTGTTGTAAAATGTTTAGTGCTGCATGTATCCTCTGCAAATCGGATTCGTGGCCAATTAAACACTTGCCCTTTATTGACAACTTCGGTGCATTAACAACTAAATGCACACTTTTCAGAGCGAATTAAGCAATAAAAAAATAGTGTGCATGTGACAAAATTGATTGGCTGAAGGTCACATGACCAGCACTAAGTGTGAATAGGTCCACCCAGATGGGTATAACCAGCTGTGACGTCACTAACTAGTGTAGGAATGCCAAAAATGATCTCTGGTCAATGAGGCGCCACACACCACAGTCAACTACCTATCTCTTACCACACACCACTATCACTTCACTGGCCACATAAACAAAAAAGCGTAACAGCCTACCTACTCATATTTTAATTGGCGAGCAGGAGTGAGCTAACCTAGTGGTTCCAACGGCGCGATTTCCTTTATAATTATGTAACCGTACGTCGTCCACGCGCTTCTTTTTATCCGAAAAACATTTCAAATTTTTATACCGAAAATTTCTCAACGCTAGTATGTAATTTGCAGAAAGTGTGACACAGGCCAACTACACTAGTAGATAGCATGCAGGAGTCGATACACGCCTTTCGTTGTGACCTCCAAAGTACACAGAGCTAGCGGATCAGATCCAGGTAAGCCAGTGCATCTCTCGAAAGCAGTCGTTTCAGAAAAATCGCCTTTATACTTTTCAGGCTCGTGTAATTCTGAAGCCGCTTAGGCCGCCTCGTAGCCTGTAGTGCCAGAATAAGCGTCGGCAGACAGATAGACACACAGAACGACTACTGTAACCCTTAGTGCGTATGCGCATTTAGGATGCGCATGCGTCAGGATAACGCGCTTCTACACGCTGCTATGATGGCTCATGTAGATACAGTCCTTGTGTGCTCGCTCCGCTCGGCAAAAATGCCATGGATTCGCCTACTAGTATATATCCATGGTGTATCAGTGAAGGTTCAGTGCATGAAATTACAGTCAGACATCGGACATATTCTGAGCATTTGCAGCACTTGTCTGAGCAAAAATCGTTCTGTACTGTTTGAACTACGACGAACGCAGGCCTGCGCACACACAATTAATAAAGGTGTGGTTCCGCGTAAAGACGGGCCGGGCGTGTACACCACAGTCAACTACCCATCTCTTATCACACACCATTATGACTTCACAGGCCCACATTAAAAACATTACTCTATATTCATGACGTATCAGTCTACACAAAAATCACTCGCATATAATCGTTAAATTTGTATTCAATTTTGTCTATTTAAAACATTACAGTATGTGAGACAGTGACCTTCTCATCGTTGTTGGATACATACATTCATGAGAATTTAGACGACTAAGTACAGGTGTGCTTGGCTCACCAACAACTGCACAGAGTTCATCACAGAAATAGCAACTAAATAAAGCTATGTACACATTTTGTTGATTTGTTTGCCTTTGCTCTCACATGCAGTCAGAAGTATGCCATAGAAATGTATGGAGAAAGTCTGTTCAGGGACTTGCAGACTTCAGTGCTGCACATAACTTGATGTGGAACGGAGCGAGCAATGCAATGGTGCTTGAATAATCAAGAATGAAAAATTCTTGAAATTAAAAATGGTGAATATGGGGAAAAAACAAGGAGACGAGAGAGAATGTATGTGATGCAGTAGTACAATTGATGACGGCTATAATTCGCACATGTACATTTTCCTCCACACAAGCCCTATATTGTCGCCACTTTTACTCACAACATGAATTTCTAAGGTGTGAGGACAATGGAGAGCCAACAATGCAGCATTGTAAAATGAGGGAACATGGAAGTCTTAGACTGCACATGTCACAACCAAAACTGAGGAGCTGTCAGAGAGGGCAACACCTGTGCATTACTTGCTTAGGAAATATAAAGAGCACACTCATGCTTCACAACAATATAGGGCTGTATTACTTATAATACAGAATTTTAATACAGTTACTTAACTGCAACTTAAAGGCTACAGTCACAATGTTTCGCATTGCGCATACCCCTTGTGTACAGTGTCTCATAACAGCAAGACTCTCCAGGTATGTGTATCTTAAAGATGTGTGTGTGTGTGTGTGTGTGTGAAGCACATCACAGCAAAGAAATGATCAAAAAAAAATTCCTCCTAGGCAATTCGAGTGCCATTTCTAGTAAAGGCACAACAGAATATACATTAAGTACAAAAGTGAAAATGAATAGTGATACCCTTATTAGCAATATTCGACGGATCCATGCAGTCACCATGTGGACATAAGCCCTCATTGGTGTCCACACACCAGTCATGATTCAACTGGAAGAGACTTACAGTACACATCAAAAAAAGTTCCCACTACGGCGCCGTAGTACGGTCACACCATCTATATACAGTGCTTCTACGGTGTATCTACGCCCACCACGCAGCACAGCGTAGCTGCACCATACCGTACTACAGTGCGGTACGGTCGACGGTCAGAAAACCCCGTAGCTGAAGGGCCCTGCCTCTCTTCCCATTGCGCACGCTGGAGACCGCGCGCGGTGCTCTCGACCGATCTCCGCCGCAAGTTCTGCACCGCTCGCACGAACTGCTGGTCATTTGGTTCGTGTACACGATGCCTTACCTGGCAAATGACAGCTATAAAGGATCATCTACAGACCCTCAGGTACAGTTTTCAGTAGTGATCAACGCATTTTGTTCGACATTGTACATGTTACGTATCACATACAGATGAAGCGTAGTATGGTGAAGGATGAACTGAAGGTTGGTCATATGGTCAGCAAGACTTACGAACAGTAAGTAAATAGATATATGTGAGGGGGCATGGGAAAAGGGACCTATATGGCTGGAATGTGAAAATTGAGTTTTTGAGGGTGAAAAACCACAAAAACGTAATTTTCACATTCCAGCCATATAGGTCCCTTTTCCCATGCCCCCTCACATATTAAGAATAGCTATGTTTATTTGTTTTTCTGTGGCATACGGCTAGTTACTTCCTACTACAGCCATGTTCCAGTGCGGACTGGCATTTCTTCCAGAGTGCTTCCAATTGTTGTACATCTCCCCAGAATTCTGGGAAGCGCTCCAGCATTAGCTGTTTCAGCCACTGGAGCTCACATACAGGTAGGCCAGGCAACTTCCCTGCTCCTAGTGGCGTGCATCGCCTACAACCCCAAAAACACATTCAGGTGCTAGGAGAACAGTTAGCTTCCCAGCGTTGGATGTTTTGGTTTGGGGCTGGTGGCGCAGAACTTGGTCTATGGAACGCAGCTGTGACTTGTCAATCTCGCTCAATGACAAGGAGGTACTCTCGTTAGCTCCCTCAAGTGGTAGTGCAGTTGGCGCTTGGGAGCTGTTGGTTGATGATACATTAACTACTCGTACAACTTCCTCTTGTGTGAGCACGAATGGAAGGTGTGGATGTTAGGTTGGAGGATCAATAGTTGGTTTCTCTGTACTACCTGAAAACTCCAAAATGTGCATCAGATTCCCTGGAATGGAAAGGATTGAACTCGCGTATCTCAAAAACCAAAGCACATTAACATGTTTGTAAACACCCATATGCACTTTCTTTAAAATTACTTCTTCACTCCTGAAACTTGCTAATGGTAGCACGCATAACTTGGTACACATGTGTATTTATTTGGTTGACATAGCAGCCCATGGCTTAGGTTACCATTTCCTTGTTCCAGGAGTTTCTTGGCCCATGCTGGTGTGGCTTCATCTTGTTTGTGCTGGAGCTCAGCCCATGCAGATGTGGCTTCATTCTGATCTCTACAATTATGCCTGCTAGTGCAGCACTTTCTTCTGTCTCCACCTGTTCTAATTGCTGGAGAAGTCAGGTATTCCACAAGATTGGGCAGTTCGTGGGCAGCTATGGAGTCTTTTGGCTCTACTGCAGACTGTAGGGGAGCTTGGGTTGATGTTGAGGCTTCACTGGAACTAATGATCCTTCCTATTTTCGCCACGTGCTTTGTAGCAGCTAGAAGGTTTATATACAACAGACTTTTTGTATATACCTTGGCACTTGTGTGACATATGCAGCTGTAATGTCAGTAGTTTAACTTTGGCAAAGTATAATTGTTCATTCTGGCTATACAGGCCCATATGCACATTGGTTTAACGGTCAATACTTGCATGAAAAAAACATGTTTATAGCATACTAGCTAAAAGGAGGAAAAGAAAGAACCTCCCCCACCCAAGCACACAAAACACAGACAATAACATACCCAAGCATACAAAAACACAGACAATGAAAAGCACTGAAGTGCAAACCCTCGGCGCTCACTGTGACGCGCACGCGTAAGTCAACGCATGCACCGTACCACTAATTGATGGGCTGGGTTTAGTTTTAGCTGTTACTCGCGGTCCCATGCCAGCTCACGCAGAGTCTGACGCGGGCTAACTACACTACTAGATAGCATGCGAGAGGCGATACACGCCCTGCGTTGCATCTTCTGGTGCCTCCGAAGTACGCAGAGCACGCGGATCGATCCGACCGTGGTAAGCCCCCCCCGTCCGTTGTATATTTGCATATTGGATTTTTCGCGCTCTAGCTTTGCAACGGAGCAGTTTCAGGGAAAACCGTTCGAAATTTCTGACCTTCATTGCCCGTTCAGTACGTGGTATCCTTTTGTGAGACGAACGAACATTCGAGAAGTGAGATGACGAGTAACAGACACACAGACAGACAGACAGACAGACCCAATGAAAAGCACTAAAGTGCAAACCCTCGGCGAACTGGGCATGCGAGGTACCACTGATTGATGGGCTGGGCTGCTATTAGTATGCGTTTATTCGTGGTCTCCCGCTAGTAGCTCGCAGAGAGTCTGAGTCGATACACGCCCTTCGTTGTGACTTCTTGTGCCTTCAAGATACACAGAACAAGCGGACCCGGTCGTGGCTGTTGAAAATATAATATAAGCGCATGCGCGTTTTCCGCAGCGACAAAAATGGCCGACTACGCATTAGCCGTACAATGGTGGAAGCGCTGTAGCTTTGCAACGGAGCGTTTTCAGAGAAAACCGTTCGAAATTTCTGACCTTCATTGCCCGTTAGGTAGGTCGTATCGTTTGTGAGACGAACAAACATTCGAGAAGTGACATTGAGAGTAACAGACAGACACACACACAGACAAACCCCAACTATTGTAACCCTCGCTGCGCATGCGCGCCGAGGGTTAACTACAGTACCCTCGCTGCGCATGCGCGCCGAGGGTAATGAAAAGCACTAAAGTGCAAACCCTCGGCGAACTGGGCATGCGCGGTACCGCTAATTGATGGGCTGGGCTGCTATTAGTTTGTAGTATACTCGTGGTCTTCCGCTAGTAGCGTCTGACACGCTAGCTACAGTAGTTGATAGCATGTGGGAGTCGATACACGCCCTTCGTTGTGACTTCTCGTGCATTCAAGATACACAGAGCAAGCGGACCCGAGCCTGTTCAAAATATAAGCGCATGCGCATTTTCCGCTGCGATAAAAATGGCCGACTAGCATTAGCCGTACAATGGCGGAAGCGCTCTAGCTCTGCAACGGAGCATTTTCAGAGAAAACTGTTCGAAATTTCTTACCTTCATTGCCCGTTAGGTAGGTCGTATCCTTTGTGAGACGAACAGACACTCGAGAAGTGAGATTGAGAGTAACAGATATACAGACAGACAAACCCAACTACAGTACCCTCGCTGCGCATGCGCGCCGAGGGTAATGAAAAGCACTAAAGTGACAACCCTCGGCGAACTGGGCACCGCTAATTGATGAGCTGGGCTGCTATTAGTATGTAGTATACTCGTGGTCTCCCGCTAGTAGCGTCTGACACGGGCTAGCTACAGTAGTAGATAGCATGTGGGAGTCGATACACGCCCTTCGTTGTGACTTCTCGTGCCTTCAAGATACACAGAGCAAGCGGACCCGAGCCTGTTCAAAATATAAGCGCATGCGCCTTGACCGCAGCGATAAAAATGGCCGACTAGCATTAGCCGTACAATGGCGGAAGCGCTCTAGCTCAGCAACGGAGCATTTTCAGAGAAAACTGTTCGAAATTTCTGACCTTCAGGTAGGTCGTATCCTTTGTGAGACGGACAAACACTCGAGAAGTAAGATTGAGAGAAACAGACACACAGACAGACAGACAAACCCAACTACAGTACCCTCGCTGCGCATGCGCGCCGAGGGTAACTACCGTAACCCTCGCTGCGCATGCGCACCGAGGGTTAATAACATATAAACAGAAAGAAAGAGGCAGGACCCTCGGTGCCCAGCCTTGAGAACCGGGGCGGTAGGTTAAAGAGTCTTTTATGGGCCCAACTCTCCCTACACACCCAGTGTCCCAACCTCCCTTACAAAATAGATAGAAATCATGTACAAAAAAACGACAGCTACAGGATAAAAACAACAGCTGGTAGAAAAATAGAAAGCGTCAAAGGACCAATAAACGCATAGAAAAATTTAAAAAACTCTGAAACTCACGCAGCACGACGACACGACGGAGACATAAAAAATGTGCGATTACTCTAAATAATGCACAGCATATACACGTGTAAGAAAAATAGAAAAAATAGAACTTATAAAAATAAGATTAATAGTTCTGTCGATTACTTTAAATAACTACACGTGTAAGAAAAATATAAAATAGTAGAAATGGTAGAAATAGATATGCTGAAAATAGATTATTCAAAATAAATATGTGACTATAAATATACATTCTATCTATGCGAGACATGGCATGTTGTTGAGGTATTGTCTGCACAGAGGAAGGAGAGCAAGGGAAACAGGGCTAACTAATCTAAGTGCATGTGTAAGAACAGGTTACATACGGTGTGTTTCTTTTTGGGCCCCTCTTTGTCTTCTTTGTTGTTGGTGTCAGCATTGTAGTCAGAGCCTCTGCAGTGTTTGCAGTCTCTGCTACTTGCTCAATCTCTGTGCACTGGGATAGTTTTGAACCCATGTTTCTGGTGTTGTAGGTTGTAAGACTTTTGCAATGTGTTCCTCTAAAGCCTTCTCCATTTCCTCCTGTGTGCCTATTTGCAGAGCAGGGGTGTCAATTTTTCTTCGATGACTTTCCATCTGGATGCTACATTCGTCCGTCCAGATTACGTCCTCGAAACCGTGTTCTTCTTCACTCAAATAGTCTTGCGCCCACTGCAATCGTGCTGCCTTGTTGGCGGTACGTGCATTTCCACGGAAGGTCCACCCCAGCGCAGTCCTGCACCACAACACCGTAGGAAGGGAAATGTGGTGGCCGTGGCTGATCAGTAACTGGCGAAGCTGTGTGGTATTAGACATGTCGTCGGCTCGCATCTGCCCCTCCACGATGTCCTGTATTTCTTGCGTTATTATAGTCTTTCTTCCACTCCCCAGCTGCCTAGCGAGACTCTCTGTCCTCTCGTAGTGGGTAAGAAATTTCAGAATTCCCCGTCGACTTGCACGCACATCTTCAGCACGGAGCACCCGGGCGATAGTCGGGGGGGCCCATCCCCTCGCGACCGAGGGCTAGCATCCTTTGCTTCTCGTAGTCATTGAACACCATTCTCACTTCTTCGCTGGATCATTGAAAGTTTTGTGCCCCGTGAATTCGCTTCGAGTTCTTTTGTAGTGCCACACCGAACTTCACCATAGCAAAACTATGGCGAAGTACGCCGTGCAAAGCAGCCCTTCACTACGGCGGTGTACAAGTGCATCTACGCTGTACGTACGGCGTAGTAACAGCATAGCTAGACTGTATCACCACAGTAGTTTTGTACGGTGTGACCGTACTAGGGTGGGAAATGTTTTTGACATGTACTGTAGCTCCTCCATACGCAAACACTACATAGTGAAAACATATACACATGATTATGGTCTCTTGTTAAATGATAATTATGCAACTAGCAGATAGCCTGCACTACCAGGAGCGGACAAAGGATTGTCAAACTACGTAATAAGATTATACGAACCAGTGGAACTGCCGATGTCCAACGTTACACTGGCGACAGAAAACGTCTACCTTGTTCTGGGTAGTTGATGACCCTCCCACTGAAATCAGTTTCTCTCCCACAAGCTCGTGTACATCTCCAGGTCAGCTCTCTCCAGAGGAGTGAGGAGAACCCACCTTTCATTGAGAAATGGTGAAATATTGAAGACAGAAGAATCAGAGAGAGAACATAAATACACTCTTAGTTTCATTGCACTTCAAATTTAGCAAGTATTTTCATGTTTAATACGAGTTGAGGTAGAAATTTTCAATGAAACTCCAAATCCTCTATTCTAACCACAATCAAATCCCCAACATGTTACGCAGACCTCGAATAACAGAGAAAACCACTTTTGCCAGAGTCGCACCCGGCCTAACCCATTCACTATACATTATTTTCCTCTTACTTTGTGATATCAACAAAGGGCTACCTAGAGTCGATGACATAATGTTCATCCAATGCTCATTCAACCATCCTGGTTTCTGCTACACAAAGCTGTCTATATGATGCTGTATTTTCTTCCTTTTATTTATCAAGAAGACTGTATAGATGAGTAATAATGGACTAAGAGAGGGAAACAAATATTATTACTAGTAAAGGGAGCTAGTAAAACCACAGTATTCTACCACACAACTACTTACTGTCCGTGTATATTCACATTGGCTCCATTCTTCCACCAGAATGTGCAACTATTTAGCTTGTGCCCACCTTGCCGGCACCATAAGAGTGGTAAAACCATCCTGGACAGGAGGGGACAAGACATAAATTTAGCCCAGGAAGAGGTTATAGCGTCCCCATGCCTAATGTACTGTGTGCAGACTGAAGTACTGCTAAATCTCTACAAGACGTTAGCTAATAGCTTCGTGGGCAGTCCTCCTCCCAGAATCAACTATTGTGAGTATAGACTTAAAATTGTGACAGCAGTTGTAATGCCTTTAGCTAAACCTGAATAACCCCTACGGTATGCTCAGCTCAGAGGAAAGACAGCGGCACTCACATGTTTGTCAGCTATTTGGCTTTTTTATTTTGCATGAATAATGTCACAAAGAAAAATTTCAATAAAACTGTGTCAATCTCACATCAGTAAATATTTACAAAATTTTTTGATTGCTGGAGTATTAAGAAGTGACTATGTAGGCAAAAATATTTGGCCAAAGCTGTCTGGTGAGCAAGTTGAACAGTCTACTGAGCTGTGAATAATTTCCTCAGCAAAATGTGTATGACGGGCCATCTATGAATATGATGTGCACACTCCCTATTTTTAACACTGTGTATATAATGTGACCAGAAGTTTCTTCAACATATTACACTATGTGTAGGTGAGCAAACATAGCCCCCAGAAGACAACTGAACAAAAGAGAGAGAAGACTGTACTGTGTTACCCTTGAGGACTGTAAAAGGTAGCAATGTTCAAGTATTACCTTATCTGGTAGGTTTAGGTCAGCATTAGCTCTATCAGAAGACGTACAATGTCAATGTGACCATTCATTGCAGCATAGGAAATGGCAGTTGTTCCATCCTAAGATAAAAAATCAATCCTGTCATTACACAGATATCAGGACAAGCACATACAAACACATGGCATAGCAAGATGGGCAAATGACCACTAACCCAAAACAAAAGGGCGAGCTAGAAACAAGACGAGATACAAAGCAATAAGAGAGAGAAAAACAACCTCATCTTGAGAATTAACGTCGGTGTGACCAGTGAGCTCTCTCTTGACAGCATCAATATTCCCAGTCTCAGCAGCTCTCAACAAAGCAGCCTTTCCTTCCTATTAGCCATGATAACACAAATAGTAATGAAATTAATAAACATATTAAAACTCACCAAAACCCACATTCTCAGGTGTGAAGCAACAACCAGATTCTGTTTCGTATGAGAACATTCAAGTCTGTCCTCAGCCACTAAGGTGGCGTAGTGGAACCCAGTAGCTTCCAGATCACAACTCGGACAGCTAAAGGCTACAACTGGAGTTGTTGCCTGTCCATAGCGATACAGTTTCAATACTTCAGTCATTGTTGACTCAATTGCAATACGAACATCGGAACATGTCTCCCTCGAAACACTTGCAGCATTCCTGACAGAGAGACTGAGGTGCTTTGCAGAACAGGAAATCTTGAAACTCACTGCAGGAGAACCAACTGTAAACTCAACACTGTTGCGATGAAAGGTGTCGTAGTTTATCTTCCATGGGGTTTTGGTGTTCATTTGTTGCTGTACTATTGCGGTTATTGTGGCTCTACCGAGACCAATAGGGAGCACAAACCCTTCCATCGTGAAGTAAACAGAGTTCTTCCCAACACCACTGACCTCTCTATTCATTGGCAGCATACAGGTGAGATAGTACATGGGATGTTGGGCAGTTGAGTTTGGATGACGACACATCACTAGCAGGTCAAGTGCTATCTCGATGAGACGATCTCTTGTTATTGACTTGAAAGTGCAGACTACATCATTGATATCTTCATCGTCGACAACTGCTCTCCCAGAGAGAGGCTTCAAGAAGGCCCTTCTCATCAGGTGGGAGAGAGCATTGATCAGTACTTGAGGTTTGATGATAACCACATCGCGGAGGTGTTCAGTTTCATATAACCTTATGGCTCCGACTTTATTGTGAAGGAATTTGAGACACGGTTTGAATGACTGTTGCTCGACTCCACACTGCCGAGCTATTTCCTGGCACTGACTCAGTGAAATCATTGGTCGTGTCTCAGACACGTTCTGCAGGACTACTCCTGTGAACAGCCACGAGGTGGGGGCCTTCACTCTCAAATGACTGCCATACACCAGGCCTTGGGTTGCCCTGCGAATCACAGCAAAGTCCTCGTCATTCTCCAGAGAAGAGAAGTTGTCCACAGCAAAGACGATGCTGTCAGCACTGCAACGCTGGACAATGTTGGCTTTATACTGTGGAGTGTGTCGGATCAGTTCAATCAGGTCTCTGTTGACGGCCTCTATTCTCTGAGGGGACACCTGGTCCTTGTGTGTGCCAATGAAGAAAACACACGAACGATTCTGGAACTCTCCATCTCCAGACACGTCCTGTGAGTCTTTCTTGGAGCCCCGTACACCAGAACTGTGAACTGGCACACTTATCAGAGACTGACACAGCATCTCACCTACAGTATGTGGTGATTCATATGTGATCGGGTCACCATCAACAGATGGGAGGTACTCCAGAGGCTGAATGGAGTGAAGGTCGTGCACCAGATTGAAGATGATGTAGACTGTGTTGCTCTCTGCAATCAGTAGAGCCAACAGCTCCTGGTACTCGGGCTGGCCTCCTGTGTCTCTGCACAGTACATACGAGGCACTGTCTATCTTCCTGCTGAGTTGTGTTTGTTTCATACTGATTAATGCTTTATTCATTACATTGGAGGCTGAGGGTAACTGACCCTCTATGTTGCCAGACTCTTCAATGTGTGTGGAAGCTGGCACATTTTGCGGCTGATCTTGCTCGCTCTGTTGCGTAGGTTGCTGTCCTTCTGTGTTTGGCAAGACTGAGTCAGTGCCTGTGGTAATAGACTGCTCTACAGCTTCATTTTTCACCTGAGCCAATTTACTCTGCTGAAGATCCGGCTGCCCGTCTGGTTTGGGTGAACCTGGTTTTTTATTCTGCTGTTCAGGTACTGTGGTGCTAGAGAAATCTTGAGGTGATTCTTGTATGAAGAGATGTCCGTGCTGAGTTACCAATGCAACAAATCCCTCCATTTCCTCCTCGGCTTGAATCCTCCTCCAGGCAAGTTCTGAGACGTGCAGAACAAAGCCACAGCTTCCCCTAATGTCCAGTCTCACACTTCCTTCAGAACTGGTGATGTCAGTACTTGGAAGAAGTCTCTCTGGAATAATGCCCTGCAAGCGTTTCCAAAACGAACTCTTCCCAGAACGAGGGATTCCAGTGAATACAATCTGCATCATGTTTAGTTCTGCCTCTCGCTCAGAGCCTAATGTGACAAAATTGAGCCTTGTTATCAGTAGCTAATTATCTGTCAAGATAAATATGACTATTAGTAGTCAACCAAGAAACACGCTACAGAGACACCCTGTAGTAAAGCAATGTGCACCATATTACAACTACGATGAGCTGTAGCCCACCCAGCAGATAATGACAATTACAAAGCAGGTCAGGTAGATTTTTGCTTCGGTGTCGACTCTGGGACATTCAGTTCACCACTACTTACTGCTGCGACGTGCCTCTAATGAACGAGAGGGCTAATCTCGGACAAAACTACCTGATGACTGCTCACGTGGCACTCGGAGGCATATCGTAGGGCAAGGGGTTGCAGTTTGGGTGGGGGCAGGAAGGAGTGGAACTAGACCAGTCTTGCAGTTGTTACACAGGCGTGCTCTTCAGTTGGGTGAAGTGTGGACTCAAACACATTGCTGTCTGCTATGAGCAAGCAAGTCTAGTCAGCTGCAATGGCTTACCAGTATTTATTTACTGAAGCTTTGTTGGTGAAAATGTGCACTCTCCCCAATCCAGACTGTTGGAACACTCTTACTCATTGTTATGCAATCACCATTGTGCCTTTGTACACCACAAACATGACACTCTATCTCTGTGTCTCTAGAACGTTCTAGAAG